CGATTTTAAAAAAATCGACCGGCTAAGCCAATAATTTGCTTTTAGCCGATTTTTTCACTATCGGCCAAGATCACTAAAGCTAGGGTTAAATTTCAGCCACCATGATAATCAATTATAAAATAAATTTCATATTAACAATAAATAAACACATAAACAATATTAAGGTTAAGCATATATAATAATACTAATTATTTATTGCTAAACACAACGTTCCTAGCGAATTTACTTCATGCTTTTTTCTAAATCTAGAATTTTTCTTTTAATGGGATCATAATTTTTAGCATTTCCGTTAGATTCAACACCAGCTTCCATAACCTCCCATAAGCCTTCAATTGATCTTGTAACATAACACATTATGACTGCTTGAGAGTTCGCGGCAGTTTGAATTGAATAATTACACAATTGCTCTTGAGGCGAGTTTTCATCATACAATCGGAAGCTCGGACTGATGAAATGACCGATGTTTGGACAGTTCCAGGCGCTTAGAATAAAATAGAGTGTGGTAACTTCTTTTGGGAGTTTATCTATTTTTATGGTAATCCGATGGTGACCTACATAAAATTATATAAATTTGTACAAAACTGTAAACGAATGTATAATCTTAATTTAATTCAAATATACTGCTGACCTCGTTGATTAGTATTATCCATTATATCACCTGAGTGTCTGATATAATTTATGCCAGAATGACTTCTTGAATTATAATCATACAATTTCCAAAGTGACATTCCAGTATATATTAAACAAGTTCCATCAAGATAGTCTCTCCCCGCTCTTGGATATCCCCAATATAAATCAAATGCTAGATTGGCAATAGAAACTTCTTTCGTAATAGAATAGAGAATAACCACGAGCTGAATATGGTATCCGGCGTGAATTCCATAGCTAACGATGCTTTTATCGTCGTCCTATCAACGCATTAAATTTTATGTTTGTAAGAAAAATTTCTTTCCGTATTTTCACGAAATAACTAACGCCCAGGGGGTGTAGTTTCAAATTTCAACCTAAATTACGCTTAACTCGGGTCATTATTCGAAATAACGCCCATGGGCGTTATTTCGCAAAAAATATGGTGAACATATTGATCGATACTTACATTCAATTCGACACCTTTGAATATTAATTTTTGCTTTCAACTTTCAATGCTAGTCTTTTTCATCAACGCGATCTTCAAAGCTCTAACTGATCTAGTTTCTTCAAGCCTGAACATGTATTTTTGACCATTCAACAATACAACATAAAATTCACCCGTTTCATTTGCAACTTCTGTAACCTCTTCTGGTGAAAAATCTGGAATATTAAGCTTAAATAATGCTCTTTTCCAAAAAGATGTCAAATAATCTATTTCTTTTTGTGTGAGTATGGCATTACATTCAGGACATCCAGACTAAGGATGGGCACGGTTACGGTCATAACCGTTGTGACCGGTCATTGACCGTAACCGTTGCTGACCGGTCAGAGCGGTTTA